TATTAAATAATTATAATTATTTTATATATAGGGATCGTATTTTGTATAGTAGTGTATTAATGTTATATGAATAGTAGTGTCTCATTATTTATATATTATTACAATATCTATAGATATGGGGATCCCATAGTATAACAATAAAGTTAAATTTCTATAGAAATTTATTCCTGAGAAACTTTCTAGAAACTTTCTCAGGGAAATTTATTAGATACTTTCTATTTTTCCATCTCTAGTTATGATTCATAAATATATACAGTATTTATAAATATATATATATACAGTATTGGACAAAACAATCTGTGAAAGGTTTGAGTCCTAATATCTTAAAAACTACTGGATCAATTTTGATACAGTTTAGTAGTAAATGTACTGTATATAATCAAGATTTAATATAATTAATATTAATTTTTTAAAACTAGTCATTTAAAAGTTATAATAATATAAGTGAAAAGTTTTGTGTTTTTCATTAATATCGTTACCAGCATTAAGGGTTGCTTCCATACATTTTTTCATTTTTTAATTAATTTTTAAAAATTACTTATATTATTTTTAAACAATTTTTTTAATTTTATATAAACTAGATTATATACTCTATCATTACCATAAACTTTATCAAAATTGATCCAGTAGTTTTTAAGTTATTAGGTCTCAAACCTTTCACAGATTGTTTTGTCCATGAGTGTATATATATAAAGTGTTTATATTTATATATCACATAAACATATATCATATGGCATTACAACAGTCGCAATACTATTGTTAAGTGCAAAACATTATTATTGTATATAAAATATTGTAATTAAATATATCCTTTAATTAATAATTTTTTTTTTAAGTAAATAAAATAAAGTAAAATCTCAATATATTAATTATTATAATAGCAATCAAATAATCAAATAGTTTATTATTTTATTATAAATCTATATAATTGTTATAATATATATATTTATATATATTAAATAAAATTGATTTTTTTTAGTTTTAATAAATACAATAAAGAGAAATTTGATTATTTTGAAAAAAATTTTGCTTAAAAAAATAGTTTTTATTTTATTTTTATAGATACAGTAAATATTAGATTTACATTACATTGTAAAGTATAGTATAAATATGAAACCGTAAAACTTAAGTTTAAAATAACACAAAAATACAAAAAGCATAAAAAATTATAATTTTATTAATAGTAATAGTTATTTTATATTAATTATTATTATTATTTTATATCATATTAATTTTTTGATATTTATAAACACACAAAAAACTATAAATAAATGTTAAGCAAAAATATTATAATTAATTTATTGTTGTTGTTGTGTTTCAACACAAATGTCTGGTCCATCATTGAAATGGGTGACTATCCGAACATAACTGTCCCCGAGTGTGGTATCGGTCGACAATCATTGCTTGGAAACGGCAATTGTTTTCAATGGTTATCCAATTCAAGTCTAACCCATGATGTGAATAATGGACGCAATGCCCGATCGGGTGAAGTGCCGTTTGTCGTATGGATTTTAACGGAGTAAATAAACTAAAAATATTTATTTATTATTTTTTTGCTAAAAAAACCAATAGTTAATAATAAATATAATTTTAAAAGTAAAATTAATTCAATATATACTATATTTATAAAAACTAAAAGTAAAAGTTATGGATCGGGTGTTATAATAAATAAACGATGGATAATGACTGCCGCACACGTAGTTTAGTAAATATAAAATCATTATTTACTTTATATATATATATATATATATAGGCTTTATTATATACACTATGTATATATATATATATACTTTATATATTTAATTTAATTGAATAATTATTTATTTTTTATTTTAACTATATAATCAATGTTAAGTTCAATATATATTATAATTATTATTAGCCACAAAAGAATAAGCTTAATTCCAGTTAGTGATATAAAAATCTACCCGGGCAAATTATTTATCAATATTGATGGTTATAACAATGATGGTGGTTATGATGTTGAAAAAACAGTTATCCATTCAAATTATGTAACTAATCGGCACCCGGCTACTGATTTAGCACTGATTAAACTGACAGCTGACTTACCGCTTATTAATACAAATGCTGGACAACCACTACTACATCCATATCGGACGCTAAACGGTATTTGTTTGCCAATGGCTAACCAACACAATGATAGGGATGAGTTGGCATTGATGGCCGGTTACGGTGCAGTTACCGAAACTATTAAAAGCGATAGACTACGTATGGGTTATATTAGGATTAGGGCAGCCGTACGTAATGAGACAGACTATTGGCGTTTTGTTATACTCGGCCAACGATATCCTCAATATAACGGCACCTTTACATGTCCGGTATGTATATGTGTGTATATGTTTGTATATGTTTGTATATGTTTGTATATGTTTGTATATGTGTGTATATGTGTGTATATGTGTGTATATGCGTGTATATGTGTGTATATGTGTGTTTATGTGTGTATATGTGTGTATATGTGTGTATGTATTTAATCATTTATCTATCTATACCTAATTAGGGTGATTCTGGTGGTCCATTGTATCAGTATGTAAACGGTAGGGCCGTATTGATTGGCATACATCGAGGCAATAATTATGGTTATTATATAAAATGTCATGAAATCAATGATCATGTTTTTAGTATATTTCCAAGGGTTTCATATTTTACTGAATGGATTACTAATACTATTAATAATAATTAATTTAATAACTAAATAAATAATTTATAATTAATTAACTAAATAAATAATTTATAATTAATTAACTAAATAAATAATTTATAATTAATTAATTAAATAAATAATTTATAATTAATTAACTAAATAAATAATTTATAATTAATTAATTAAATAAATAATTTAATTATTATTTATTAAATATATATTTATTTAAAATAGAAATAAAATATTTATATATATATATCATATATATTTATATACATTTAGATATTAAAAATTAATAAACAGTATTACATTTTATTTTTAAAACTAATTTTTATATAATTAAATTGTAATATTATTAGTATTCTTGTAATTTAAAAATAATAATTACAAAATTAAACAAATTTTTTATATAATTTTTTAATAAAATATCAATTTTATCTATTCTAAACTAAAAACATTGATTTAAGATATAATTTACTAAAAAAAACTATATAAAATTTTTAAAAAAATTAATATATACAGTATATATTTATATATATATTCAATACTTTAATTTATTATATAATAATATTTGTATTTTACGAAGGATTCATTAATTCGCGTCCAATACTAATCCAATGGATAACACGTCTATTATTACGGATGTGTTGCCTGTAATTGATGGCCAAACCAATGGCCAGACATATCATGGATACTGTCATCAGTGATATAATTATTATAAATGCTTTATCATGCGATTCAATAGGGTTTCTACTTATATTATTATCTGTGATATTAATATTAATATTATTATTATTATTATTATTATTATCACATGAATGGTTTGAATTAAGTTTTTGAGAGTCATTTAAGTTGTTAGTCATATTATTAATATATTGTGGTTTAATAACTGTCATTAAATTAAACACAAACAACAACACAAAATTTAACATATTTACTATAATTTTTATACAGTATTATAATTATTTAATTATTTTAAATATAGATAACTGATTCTTAATAATATAATAAAACAATTATTTTTAGAAATTAATGTTAAGTCAATATTATGTACAATATATATAACTGTTTATTATATATCACTTTAAATTATAAGTATTTACTGTATATATATAAGTTGATAGTTATATATATATGCAAGTAAAACAAAAAATATTTTTATAAATTTATATTAATATTTAATATACAATATTAATTGTTTGTATAAAATACAACCACTCATAGTTAAAAATATTATGAAATATTTATGAAACATTATTGTAATTAAATATTTATATCCTCTAATTAATGATTGATTTTTTAGAAATGTTTGAAAAAATAGATAAATATCTTGTGTTAAGTAATAAATACAAAAAAAAATTAATTTTTACTATTTTTTTTTTATTTAACTGGTGAAAAATTAATTTATAACTAATTTATAATTAATAATTTTTTTAAAAAAATATCAATCTATTATACAGATATAAATAGTTATAATTTTTTTATAATTTAATTTTAGTTATGATTCATAAATATATATACAAAACAAATAGTTTTTTATTTAAATATATATTTATATATCACATAAACATATATCATATGGCATTACAACAGTCGCAATACTATTGTTAAGTGCAAAACATTATTATTTATATAAAATATTGTAATAAAATATATCCTCTAATTAATGATCTTTTTCTAAGTAATTAAAATTATTATTAATTTGATTTTAAAAATAATTTATGTTAAATCTAAATGATATTAATTATTATACCTTATAATAGCAAACAACCAAAAAATTATAAGTTAATTATTTTATTATAAATTATATAATTACAAATTGATGTTTATGTAATAATATTGTTATTATTATTTTATTAATATTTATTTTTATATATATATATATATATTTAATAATAACAAATAACACTAAATTATTATTAATAAATAGTTAAATTTTTATTGTTATAAAAATATATGTATTAAATAAAATTGATTTTTTAGTTTTAATAAATATACTAAAGAGAAATTAGATTATTTTTAAAAATTTGATTAAAAATAAATAGATAAATATTATATTTTATAGTGTAAAGTATAGTATAAATATGAAACGGTAATGAAAGTTAAAAATAACACCAAAAAATAAATAAAATAATAAAAATTATATAATGTTATTAACTTAAATTTATTACAAATAATAGTTCAGTTAGTTATCATAATTATTTTTTTATTTATTATTATTATTATTTTATATTAATTATTATAAATAAAATTAAATCAAAACAAATACAAACAAATATTATTTTATTTATTTATTTTTAATTAATTTTAAAAAAAAAAATAATAATAATAACTTTTAATTACAATCGACTTTAATGGCAGCTATTATAATACCAGTGCATACATTTGAACCGAGATTGACATCAATTAGTCCTCCACCACCACCACCACCACCACCCGGAGCTGATGATGGCTGTCTGGATGGTTTCGGTGCCAGTGTTTGATTAACCTTAAGGGCCAGTAGGTCTATAATTGGAGGTATGGCTACTTCGGCTACGGCAGCCGCACTGGCAGCTAAATTAGCTACCGGTGCTGGTGGTGGTGGTGGATGTGCAGCAAATTTTCTACCTAGGTTCTCTGTGTTATTGTCCAATTGTCCAACTACTACTACTACTACCGGTGCCGTATAAACTGGTTGTACTGTTTTAGTTTAGTTTAATATTAGTAATTGATTAGATAATAATAATAATAATAATAATAATAATAATAATAATAATAATAATAATAATAAAATAGTAGTAATAATATTAATAAAATAGTAGTAATAATAATAATAAAATAGTAGTAATAATAATAATAATAAAATAGTAGTAATAATATTAATAAAATAGTAGTAATAATAATAATAAAATAGTAGTAATAATATTAATAAAATAGTAGTAATAATAATAATAAAATAGTAGTAATAATAATAATAAAATAGTAGTAATAATAATAATAAAATAATAATAATAATAATAATAATAAAATTGTACTTAAATTTATAATTTAGAGGATAAAGCTATTAATTTAATTGCATAACAATATCAATAACAATATATCATACCTGGACACTGGCTCAGGGGTATACACTGGCCAGACCTACTACATCGGACATAACCGTACGCACAGATACAGCCACCACCCGGTTGTTGTCGACAGTTTTTAACAGCCGATGATGATGGCTGGCCATCACCATCACCACTACTACTACTACCAGTGCCGATACTACTACTACAGTGCACTGGTAGATACGGGTGCTCGCATGTGGGCTGACATTGTTGTTGTTGAATAGTTAGACAATTGTTAACTACAATTTCGTTATCTCCGCATATGATAACTAGTATATAGAGCACAGGTATATATAATTTTTGTTGTTGTTAATATGAGGAAAGTTATGCTATCAAACAAACAACAAAACAATCAATTGTATACCTGAACTACTGTTCCTCTTTTGTTGTCGTTGATGGTTGATCCTGTCAATGGTTGCCGCCCTAACCATAACATCCATGACCACTATTACCGATGATGATAATGATAATACTAATAAAATGTTATACATTTTTATTTTTATTTTTTTTTGATGACTGTTTTAACTGTTATAATATATTAATATTAAGTATATAGTGATTAGTTAAGTAAAAAAAAATAATAATTTTAGTATTTTTATTAATATAACTACCTGTTTATGGATGTATAGGATGTCTAATAAATTATTAGTAATAATAATAAGGATCGGCTATTTTGATAGCCCTACTACTACCTACTACTACCTGTGCAATGTTGATGACATTGAAATGTATTATTATTATAGTTTATTGAAGATTATTGAAAGGTTATTGACTTGGATTAGTAATAAGCTAACTGTCCATTAGTTTAATAAAACAATAGGTTTTAATGTTATTTATATATATATATATATATATATACAGTATATATATATTGTATATGTATTTATTGAATATATGTATAATAATAATGATAAGCATTTTTTTTATTAAGATTTAAAATATAATTTATTTATTTTTTATTTAATATCTAAAAATAAAAATAATTATTTTTTGACTAATATATAATAAAAACTAATTAATATAATATATATATATATACTAACAAAAAAATTGTGTCTATTTTTTTTTAATTACAGTCGACTTTAGCGGCCAAACCGATACCACCCAGACATAAATTTGAGGCCAAATTGACTTTAATTAGTGGCCGATTTCCCGGTACCGGTAGTGATTGGGACAGTAGGTCGACAATTGGTGGCACCAAATCAGTAGCTACAGAAGCTAATGGATGTGGGGTACGATCAGTTAGATTGTTAGGTGTGGCCACCAGTCTCCTACTATTGGTCAATACATCCAATACTACAGGTGCTGCAGCTGCTGGTGCTGCTATAATCAATATTAATAGACCTAATAATAATAATAATAATAATAATAATAATATACTGTACATACCTGGACACTGGCTCAGGGGTATACACTGGCCAGACCTACTACATCGGACATAACCGTACGCACAGATACAGCCACCCGATTGTTGACAGTTGTTGTTAATAGCCAATGGCTGGCCATCACTACTACCAGTGCCACTCGGGATATCGGGATTACTATTACAGTTGAGCACTGGTAGATACGGGTGCTCGCATGTTGGCTGGCATTTAATAGTTGGACAATCGGTAACTAGTATTTCGTTGTCTCCGCATATGACTACTCAGTGTATTAGTATATATATATATATAGAGCACAGGTATATAAAATTTTTAAGGGAAAGTTATGTTTAGTTAAAAATAAAAAACAATTGTATACCCGGTCTCTGATGTTGTTGTTGTTGTTGTTGGCCAACGGTTGCCGCCGCCTCTCTGGCCATAACATCCCTGACCACCGATACCGATGCCGATGATGAAAATAGTGATAATAAAAATGCTAATAAAATGTTATACATATTTGTTGTTTTTGTTTTGTTTGCTAACTATATATATACTAATATTGTTTTTTTTTTGAGACAATAATTAATAATAATTTTATTGTTAATAATAATAACTGTTTTTATTTTAAATAATATTATTTTACTAAACAATTACTACTACTACTACTGTATATAAATAAATATAATGTTTAAATTACTAATACATTGTAATTAAAAACTACAGTAGTTTACTGTATATAAAGGCTATTGACATTATATTGTTGGGATTAGTAATGGGATTACTTTATGATAAGCTATGACAAGCTAACTGTCCCTTATTTTTTCCATTGAATAAGTCCAATTAAAAATTTTTAACTAATGTCTAACTAAACTTTTCAAAATACATATTAATTATAATAAATAAATTATTTAAATAAACATTTATATTATTTATTTAGTTTTTTTTAACTATATATATATAGAAAATATTGAGAAAATAAATTATAATTATTTTTTTTATTACTAAAACTTGAATTATTATTATTATTAGTATAAATACTTTCACTTTAAACGAAAAATTGATGCATATATTAGATAAGCGCCAGAAAAAAACAACATTTTAAAAAAAAATTTATTTCAATTTTTAAATATAATTTTTTCCCATTATTTTTATCATTTACTAAAAAAGTTTGTTGACATTGAAATAAATTATTTTTAAAAAAATGAAATGATATGAAATGTCATTTAACTTTCTAAACAAAAATAAAGAAAATAAAAATTGAATAAAATATTTATTTTAATTATATATTTTTAATAAATTAATTAATTAATTATAAAACTATGCAAAACATTGTATTTAAATCGTGTCTATTATTAATAATAATTATAAATAATTATAATATAAATATTGTTTGTCAATACAATAATTACAATAATAATAATAATAATCAGTTAAATAATTTAAAAGTTGAAAATTTAACTAATAATACTAATAATAATAGTGATAATAATATAAATTATAATAAAATAAATAATAATAATAATAATAATAATAATAATAATAATAATAATAATAATAATAATAATAATTTATGTTTAACTCCTATTTGTATTAAGGAAGGTATTGTATAATATACCTAAAAATACCTAAAAAACATTATTTAAATTATAATATATATATATATATTTAAAAATTTGCATGATAATTTATTATTTTTTTGAAATTTAATTATTATTATTTAAAATTTAATTATTATTATTATTATTTAAAATTTAATTATTATTATTATTATTTAAAATTTAATTATTATTATTATTATTTAAAATTTAATTATTATTATTATTATTTAAAATTTAATTAATTATTATTATTATTTAAAATTTAATTATTATTATTATTATTTAAAATTATTATTATTATTAATAGCATCTCGTATTTTGCGATCATTGGATGAAACTGTCGATCCGTGCGATGATTTTTATCAGTTTAGTTGCGGCCAATGGCTATCGCGGACACCGATACCCGACCACAAATCGGCCGTCAATTCATTTGCCAATTTGCAGGATATTATTAACTATAGGATCAAACAGATGATCGATAATATTGATATCAATAATAATAATAATAATACTAATAATACTAATAATAATAATAATACTAATAATACTAATAATACTAATAATATTACTAATAATAATACTAATAATAATAATACTAATAATAATAATACTAATAATAATAATGATTTTATAATAAAAACTAAATACTTGTATCAAAGTTGTATGAATACATGTAAGTAATGTATAGTTTAATAAATAATTTTTAATTATATAATTAATTTTTTGTATTGTTTTTGTTTGTTTAGCACTTATTGAACAACGAGGCGATCAACCGCTTCGACAGCTGTTATATCAATTGATTGACAGCAGACAGTGGCCACTAATGTCTGTGAGCGGAGCACCGGTAGATAAGAACAACAACAACAACAATACTAATAATAATTGGTTAGACTTGTATTTAAAACTAAAATCAATGGGTTTGGCAAACAATATGCTATTTTCGTTGACATTGTCGACTGATATCAAAAATAATACGAAAAAAGTTTTAATGGTTTGTTTTATAATTAATTGAATTATATATCAATCAATCAATGATAGAGAGAGAGAGAGAGAGAGAGAGAGAGAGAGAGAGAGAGAGAGAGAGAGAGAGAGAGAGAGACAGACAGACAGAGAGAGAGAGACAGAGACAGAGAGAGAGAGAGAGAGAGAGAGACAGAGAGAGAGAGAGACAGAGAGAGAGAGACAGAGAGAGAGAGACAAAGAGAGACAGAGAGAGAGAGAGAGAGAGACAGAGAGAGAGAGACAGAGAGAGACAGAGAGAGAGAGAGAGAGAGAGAGAGAGAGAGAGAGAGAGAGAGAGAGAGAGAGACAGAGAGAGAGAGAGACAGAGAGAGACAGAGAGAGAGAGAGAGACAGAGAGAGAGAGAGAGAGAGAGTTATATACAGTATTAATGACTTAATAATTTTAAAAATTATTTTTAATAAAAATATATATTTTTTTAATAACTTTAATAATTATTTTATTTATTTATTTTTTTTTTGATGACCAGTTAGATCAGCCAACGTTTGGCACGAATCGGGACTCATTGTTAGCCACCGCCGGCTATCCGGACACTGACCGTACATTTACGGCTTACAGAGATTTGCTGCGAAAAAGTGGCCAACAATTATGGTTGCCGTCAAAAATGTCGGCAAACCAGACAATTATATATGAAATTAATGAAACGATTGATTCAATTGTCAATTTTGAAAGATTGTTGGCTAATGTAAACTATATATATAAAAAAATATTATTATTATTATTATTATTATTATTGAAATACTAAATGTATTTTCAATTGTTTTTTCAGATATCAATGTCCAATGAGTTTTATAGACACGAAAATCTAACAGTTATTATCTATGAGGACATGGATGTCGACACCAACACCAACAACAACAACAATGATCTAAATAATGATCAATCGCTTGATGTAAATATAATTATTTATTTTTTTATGGGTTTAAAAACTTTTTTTTATATATATTATTTTCAACAACAAAAAATGTTTTTGTTATTTTTTTTGTAATAATTTAAATCATATTTTTTTTTATTTTTTAATATAGAGTTCACTATTCAGAGAGGAAAGGGATTATCTAAAGTCAATCTACAATAGGATAACAATTGACGATCTGATGATAAAATTGTCGCCAAATGTATTGAAAAAATTTTTTTTCTGAAATTATATTTATTTAAAAAAAATTAATTTAATTAACAAATTTTTTTTTTAATAGATAAATTGGCTAAAAATTATCAAAAACCTAACCAATGATAATGGTATACAACTATCGGATGAAATCATAGTAAATGATACGGAATTTATCCGAAAACTTGATAAACTGGTCAATCAAACCGATAATCAGTAATTAAAAAATATTATTATTATTATTTTTTTTAGAAAAATCAAAATATTTTATTATATTTTAATTATTATTATTTATTTATTTTTTTTTTTTTTTTGGTTAATTAGACTATTAATTAATTATATCCTTTGGAGAGTCATACTAACCAAACATATGTCGCTGGATAGCCACTGGAGACATATGAGACAGGAGTATGACGACTACCGATTGTCGGGTAGTAGCCGACGGTCGGCACCGGCGGCGGCGGCCAGACCTCGATGGCAACAATGTGTTAAAACTGTTGAAAATAGCTTACATTTTGCATTATCTCATCTGTATATCAAACAGTATGCAAACAATGATGATATCAGAGAACAGGTATTTTATATTTTTTTAGATATTATTATTATTATATTTTTTGGATATTATTATTATATATTTTTAGATATTATTATTATTTAATTTTATTAGATTTTATTATTATTATTTAATTTTTTTTGTGGATATTATTATTATTATATTTTTGTGGATATTATTATTATTATTATATATTTTTTAGATATTATTATTACAATAGTTTAGATCTAAAAGTAATTAATTAAATAACTAAGAAAATGAATAATTATTTTTTCAAAAAAAAAAGTTTTTTGTTTGTTTGTTTCCAAATAATAATAATAAAACAAATAAAAAAAATATTTTTTAAAAAAATATTTAGTATATTTTCTATAAAACTATTAAAACAAAAAAAACTATAAAATAAAACTATTTTTTCTTTAATCATAATTTAATAATACATATAATAATTAATAAAATATTTTTATTTATTTAATTTTTGAATATTTATGGATTATTTATTTAATTACTAATTTTATTTATTTTTTAATAATTTTTAAAAACCCCATCACCCCACCCCACCCCCTCGATAGGCAACAAAACTAATTGAAACAGTTAGATCGAAGTTTAGATATACATTATTAAATAATATGTCCTGGATAGATAATAAAACAATGATCAGGGCATTGGATAAATTGGATAAAATGCGTATATTAGTTGGCTATCCTATGGATATATTGGATGATCAGAAAATTAATCAACTATATAAAAATGTAAATTATTTAAAAAAAAATTTATTGTCATTATTATTACTAATTTTGTTTCACCCCCTACCCCTCCCCCACCCCCCAATAGATAAACATAAACCCGGATGACTTTTTTGGCAATATATTAGCAATTAATTACTGGAAACTTAATCAATCGTTTAATAGTTCGCTAAGAAAATTCAATGATATTCATAGGTATTCATTGTATTTAATTTTTTTTTAAAAATAATTACATTTTTATTTTATTTTTTATTAATAAATGTATTATAGTTGGCAACGGTTGGGATCGTTGACTTTAGCCAACGCTTTCTATAATACGGTCAAAAATATGGTGACAATACCCGTCGGTATACTGCAGGGCGTCTTCTACGATAAGGACAGACCTAAGTATAGTATAGTTTATATAATTATATATATTTATAATAGGAATTTAATTGGAATTTAATGGGAATTTAATGTGAATTTAATGGGAATTTAGTGAGAATTTAGTAGGAATTTATTGGATATTTGATGGGAATTTAGTGGAAAGTTATTGGGAATTTAATAGGAATTTAGTTGGAATTTAGTGTGAATTTAATGGGAATTTAGTGGGAATTTATTGGGAATTTACTCAAATTTATCAAAAAAATTGTCGATTAAAAAAATGCAATTTAAAAAATTTCACCCCACCCTAATACCCCACCCCACAAACTTTTTTGGAGTTTTTTGCCATTTTACTCTACCCTATACCACACCCCACTCCCACCCCCACTGAAATCGAAAACCATTAGCAACCCTAATATATATACTAATCATAATTGAATTTTAACAGATAATAATAATACTTTATAATCGGTAATAGCTATCTAAACTACGGTGCACTGGCCAAAACGGCTGGCCACGAAATTATACACGGCTTCGACAGTCATGGCCGACATTTCGACGGTAACGGTAATGTCAACTACTGGTGGTTGGCGGCGACCGATCGCCGATATCGCCAGAAAGCCCAGTGTTTTATCCGGCAATACGGCGACTATTATGTTGGCGGCGATATCCAGTTGTCGGTCAACGGCCAGCGGACACAAGCGGAAAATATTGCCGATAATGGTGGGATAAAGTTGGCATTCAGGGCCTATAGACAGTGGTTGATGAGGACAGGTAGCCGACAACAACAGGAACCGCTACTACCGGCCCTCAACTATACCGGGGAACAGCTATTTTGGATTAGCTATGGTGTACACTATTGTTCAAAACATAATAGGGATAGTCTGAGAAATTTACTATTGAAAGATTCGCATACACCTAAAAAATATCGGTATGTATACCTAGAGTACATACCTGTGCTTACCTTTATATGTATATTATTTAATTTTTTTTGTTGACAGTATTAACGGTGCACTTTCAAATTCACCGGAGTTTTCGGAAACATTCAACTGTCCCCAGGGATCGCCTATGAATCCAATAAACAAGTGCTCGCTTTGGTAGTTAATATTAGTAATAATAATAATAATAATTTTCATAAAATAATAATAGTTTATATTTAGAGAAAAAAATTTAATAATAACTTATATTTAGAGATAAAAATTTAATAATAATTTATATTTAGAGAAAAAAAATTAATCAATAATTTATATTTAGTAGAAAAAAATTTAATAGTAATTTATATTTAAAGATAAAAATTTAATAATAATTTATATTTAGAGATAAAAATTTAATAATTAATATTAAGTGAAAAATAATTAATATTAACTTATATTTAGTGAAAATAAATTAATAATATTAATAACTTATGTAATAATAATAAATTTTTTTATTTAGTTAATTATATGGTTTATTATATATATAATATTTATTTTAACTATAATTATTTTTTATTAAATTATAATAATTAATTATTTTTTTTAAATAAAAAATAAAAATTATTTGATACTATTATTAATATAAGGAATTGAGCACCGGTAGGTACAGTAATTGTAATATTGTATTTATCATATACATTATATAGGTATTTAAATTGTTTGGTTTGGCAGTACAATAATATTAGGATAGTAGTACCGGTAGTACAGTATTATGAGGTGATACCGACACCGGCACCGACACCGGCACCGATAGCTATCGGTTCGTTGGTCAGTATAATAGGTAAATCACATTTAAGATCAAACGAACCGGGAATATCTAGTTTAACGGACAGCTGATATTTGATGGATATTATCGGACAAACCGAATGAACTACCGGTGCATTGGGCGGTACCTGTAGTTCGACAATCGTATTGGTCTGTGTGGAGGCACCGACTGTCTGATCCAGACCACGGGTCAGTTTTTGTCGGGTTTGTTTGTTGACACCATTGGCTGTAAACTGGACCTCTTGTTTGAGGGCAGCCTTCAGGATCATTGATTTTTTTGATTGATTATCAATAAAACAGTGAACCGGTATACTATGCCCGACGTTATGGCCCCGGCTGTGCAGTTGACAGCGCAGTATCAATGGTTTGCCGCCTATGAGGCCAACAGTTTTGTCTTTCGATACGAGAACCGGTTGCTAATTAAATAATAAATTGAAGGAACGGTAGTTTGATTAGGAGTCTATGTGCTAGTATACTAGCTAATTAAGGCACCGTACCGTTAGCTCCTGTATGGAAACATAGGCCGGTGTCTGTACAGTAAACGGTTGTATTGTTGTCTCGTCCGGACCGTCCTGTTTGATATGAGCCTTAAGCCAGTACCGTATGCGACCGTACTGGCCATCATAGGTGGCCGGTATCCTAATCCAGTGAATGATTGAGTGGGTGAGTGAGTGTGTATGAGTGAGAGAGACAGAGAGAGAGACAGAGAGAGAGACAGACAGAGACAGACAGAGACAGAGAGAGAGAGAGAGACAGAGAGAGAGAGAGAGACAGAGAGAGACAGTGAGAGAGACAGAGAGAGACAGAGAGAGACAGAGAGAGAGAGTAACCACAAAAAAACTAACCGATCGGGTAATTGAAAGTTGAATGCAATGATATGTTGGCCGTTGTGAAGGACAGATGGATAGACTAATTAAATAAAATTAAAAAAACTCAGTATTTATAGCGCACATGTATGTGTCTAATATACAGTATTAAATTAAAAAAAAACCTACTGTTCCCAGGATAATAGGGTAGTTCAACACAATTGTATCGCTGATAGTGTCTAATAGTTTCGGTAGTGTTGACCGATGATGTTGATGTTGCCGATCCCGATGCCGATACCGTTTCCGATGATCGTCTACCCGAGTGTTTAGGCTGTTTGACCTGTTCGGTCCATTCGCATTCGGCCCTGCCTTTCATGGTAATGGTCAGCTGGCTCAGGTGCATCTCGCCGTCCAATTGTAGGATACATTGGCCACTTAGGACGTCCAGTGGCCGATAGACAGCTCCCGGCCGATCCAATACCAGTGTAAATGTTTTCAGCTTAATAACCATTGCTATTGATTTATCATTTAGTATAGGGGGGGGGGTGTGTGGGTGAGGACAGTTAGACAGTTAGGTAGGGTTGATATATATAAATATATATACTGTATATAATAAATATAAAATTTATTACTAGTATTATAAAATAATTACAACAAAATATAATAATAATAATAATATATTACTACTAATTATATTTTTTGATTGATATATACTGTATATTATACACACACACAGTAACTGTATTATTATTATTATTATTATTAAAATAAATATTTATTAACTAATTAATTAAAAATAATGACAATTCACTTAATTCACAAAATAAAACACAAAAATATTTTTTTTTTGTTGTAATAAATTTTTTTTCATTGACTTTATTTTGTGCTAAAAAATTATTACTATTATTATATATACTGTACTGTATATTATTGTAATGTAAAATTTATAATACAATAATAATGTTAATAATAATAATAAATTTATGATAAAACTTGTGATAACGTCTCTCTCTCTCTCTCTCTCTCTCTCTCTCTCTCTCATACATACATACATACATACTTACACACATACATACTTACACACACATACACACACACATACACACACACATACACACACACACACATACACACACACACACACACACACACATAGATAGACAGTGAGTGTGTGTGTGTTTCTAATGTATGGGTAATGTATGGCTTTCAATGACAAACATATTACACATACATACACACAACAAGTACTGTATATATTAATTATAATTTATACGTAAAACTATGTGTGTTTAGTGCACATAAAATATCACTAAAATAAAATTATTACTCATTTTTTTTGTTATCATTAATTTATACTTATATATATATATATATTGTATATTTGTTGCTAAAACTTGTTATATTGTTGTTATCAATGAGTGTATATAAAGTATACATATATAAGTGTATATATATATATATATAATAAATAGTATATTTTTTTTGATTGCATTTTTGCGCTGAAATTAAACTTATAAAATCAAATAAAAACTATTTATTTATTTTAATAATCAAAACAAATATAAATTTATATTTAGATTTGATTGATTGCTATTAGTTGTGTACACATATTAGTTATAAAATATTATTATTATTATTAAACTACTATATTATTAGTGTATTAAAAACAATTATATTATAGTTATAATCACTTTAAAAACATTAAGCATTACAACAAAACGGATATATAATTATTAATAATAATATATATATATATATATTACAAATAGTATATGAAATATTAATTATGATTAATATTTATTTTTTTAGTTAAAATATCTGAATTGTTTTATTTATTTTTTATTTTAAAAAAATTAGTTAATAAAAATAATAGAAAATAAATAATAATAATACATAAAAATTTTCATTTAAAAAAATCAGATGAAATAATTAATAAAATTAAAAAATACAAAATAATAATCATTTAAATAAATAAAAATAATAACTTAATTGTTAATAATAATAATAATAATGTTTTCTAAAAATTAATGATAATATGTGAAAAATAATAAATTAATTTTTTTTTAAATATCATCAATAATACTAATATTATTAAATGTGGTTTTTTTTATCTCAAAATAGATATATATAACATATTTTTTTAATTAATTAATTAAAAATTATTATTTAATTAATTAATTAATTAAAAATCAATTACAATCAACAAAACCGGCACCTCCTAAAAATCCTAGACAAACATTTGAAAATAAATAGATTTTTATAGGTGTCGGCTGTTGGGATGGTTTGTTAGATCCGACAGTAGTATCATTGCCTGTCGGTGCGGTCGATTGGGACAGTATGGTAACAATTGGTGGCAAACCCTGCTGGACAACAGGTAGGGCTAACACTGTTGTTGGTGTAGGCAATGGTTTGGGTATAACCGTTAGATTTTCGGTTACGACAATAGGTTTGTCGACAATTATATCGGGCAACTGTTTGTCCGATTTTTTGTTCAATATAGTAGTGTCCAAACTTATTGATCCGACTACAGGTGCCGGTGCTGGAGTTGGGAGTTCAGGTACAGCAGGAGGTGCATCATCAGCATCATTAGCTACCGGTGCCGACGACACATGTATATGTATCGGTGCTATCATTGTCTGCTGAATTGGTTGCGGTGGCGGCGGCGGTAGCGGTAGTTTAGACCCGAACTTTTCGCGTAGTTTTTCATGTATTTTACCGCCGCCTACTCCACCGCCTCCGTGACGCATATCGTGCACCTGTATGTTGTCGCCAATACTAATACCAGTAGGCGATCCGTATGTAGTAGTGATCACTAGTAGAGATGGTGGTAATACTACTACTAATAAAATTGTTTTATACATTATTTTTAGTGGTGTTTTAATACACTAACTAAATGGATTGACTGGGCTTAAACTATAAACTAACTGTCCCCTAATGATATCAACATTTTTATACTGTTTTTTTTTGTCATCTACCTGAGCCCATGTGTATGTATGTGTGTGTGTGTGTCATGTGTTTAAGTCAATGACATTGATTTTAATGTACAAAAAAATGCACCTAAAATTTTAAAATGTCATCAAAATGTGTCCGGTTATATTTATATTAATATAATATTAATATATATACTGTATATATATATACCGGTATATAATTAAATTTTTAAATGTTTAAAATATATCTATTATTATTATTAGTATGGATTAAAACATAGGATTTTAAAAGGACTATATGAGGATTAATAGATGTATAGTAAGTATATATAAATAGGTCATTAATAAAAACTAACTGTCCATTTGTTTTTGAGTAGAGGACTAACCTAACCTAACTAACTGTCCATTAAATTTGAAGTGCCTTAGCATTACTATCCTGTTAGTAGTAGTAGTTTTAATTAATTTAAATTTTTTATAGTAAAAATATTTTATTTTATTTTTTTAAAAAAAAAAGTTAATCAAATAATTATTTTTTTAAACATTACATACTATTTATTAGTTATTTAAATAGCCTAACAAAAAGTTATAAATTTTTTTTTTTTTAAATAATAATTTATACAAATAAAACTTATTATTACTATTATGTTACTAATATTACATTTTTTATATAAAAATTTTTGTATAAATAAATAAAATTTTATTAGTTTTATAGTATAATTTGTGATATTTAAATTTCAATTGAAACTAAATAAATATTTTTTAAATAGGTATTTCCTAAATAATGTGGTTAATTTTTATTTAAATAATTAAATACATATATACAGTATATATATATATATATATATATGTAATTTACTGTATAATATAACTTATCTAAAATTGTTTGAAAAAATAAATAAATAAAAAATATATATATATATATAATTAAATTTTAAACTATTGTCAAAATCAAAACCAAAATTATTAACTTTTTCTTATAATAAAATAAAAACTTAACAATAAAATTATTAGTTAAAAATATTTAAGATAATCAACAAAAACAAAATTTAAACCAACCATAATTTGTTGTTTCAAAAAAACATAATATTAGTTAAATAAACTTTTTTTTAAAAAAACTTAGTTTTAATTTTTTATTTGAAAAAATATTTAGTTATATAGAAGTTATTTTATTTAAATAAAAAAATATTTAGTTTCTAATATTGTAATAATAATATTGTAATAATAATAGTGTAATAATAATATAATAATTAATTAATTAGTTAATTAAATAAATATATATATTTATTACTACAGTGTATATATACATACACACAATGAAATTACTAACAGTTATCCAAATAATAATAATTGTTTTAAATATCAATAAAATTTTTGGTCAATTATTATCTAATAATAATACTAGTAGTGATGTTAACAAATGGATTAAAATATTGGATAATTTTGAAAGTCTAGTTAATCCCATAACCAATGGACTATTGGTTCAATTAAATGCCATCAAATCCCAGCTAAATGTTTCAAATAGCCAGTGCCTCAATAATATTGAAAGCCTACTGTTAAGGGCCACTATAGATGACTGGGCGCTGAAAAGTTTGTTTTTTTAATTAATTAATTATTAATTTTATTACAATTATTTTTTTTTGATTGTTATATTATTTAACAACAACAATAACAAAAATGCAAATATATTTTAATTAGAAATTTATTTATTTTATTTTTTCAATTTTAATGGCAAACTATTAAATTATAATAATAATAATAATTATAATTATTTTATTTAATTTATATAACTCTAAAAAATAATATTGCTTTTTAAGTTTAAAATAAATATATATAATATTATTTATTATAAATAAATTATTAGTTATTGAATGAACAACAAAAAAATCTATAAATATTTTAATTAGTTAACTCATTACTAATAATAAATTATTTTTCCAAAAAAAAATATTTATTATAAAACAAAAAAAAATTTCTATAATATTAATAAAAATCTATTCAATTATTTTATTAATCTTAAAAAAATATAATTACTTTATAATACAATAAAATTAATATACAATATAATAATTACTATTATAATAATAATTACTATTATAATAATAATTACTATTATAATAATAATTACTATTATAATAATAATTAGCTATTATAATAATAATTAGCTATTATAATAATAATTAACTATTATAATAATAATTAACTATTATAATAATAATTAACTATTATAATAATAATTAACTATTATAATAATAATTAACTATTATAATAATAATTAACTATTATAATAATAATTAACTATTATAATAATAATTAACTATTATAATAATAATTAACTATTATAATAATAATTAACTATTATAATAATAATTAACTATTATAATAATAATTAACTATTATAATAATAATTAACTATTATAATAATAATTAACTATTATAATAATAATTAACTATTATAATAATAATTAATTATAATAATAATAATTAAAAAAAATAATATCATAAATAATAATAATAATAATAATTATATATATATATATATCAATAGTGTGGGATTCAAGCGGCCGCTGGCCATCGGGTTCGCTAAGCGGTTCGTTTGCCGAATACGGCG